TGCACACGAAATAATGATTATTACGTATTTACATCAGCACATATTAACATATGCGCTATAATGCAGTCATAAGTCTAAAATCATCATTATTTATTTTATCTCTTATTTATATTCCCGATATTTTCCCGATAATAAATAATAAATTACAATCCAATCAAGTTGCGTGTGAAAAATTTTATTGGATGCCAACCTGAACATCGAAATTTCTTACTAATGTTTTTAAAAATAGATGGAAAAGTTTTTTTTTTTTGTCTGATAGCCGAAACTAGGTAAGACTTTTACATTATTATTACATTTATTTATTCAAATTTTCGTAAATATTTGTCTCCTATATTTATGTACATGTTCACGTAAAATACAAAAGCGACAAAATTGTTATCGCAAAAAAAGATGGAAAAATTTTAAAAAATCTATAAATATCTGATTGAGAAAACGAATGCATAAAAATATATATGTACTTGTCGATTCTTAAATGAAATTTTTTTTCAGACCTGAAAATACTTTCTCAAGTTCGAAATACTGGATGGGTTAATGAAATTTCGAGAGCGACTGTAAATATTGTAAGCGAATTTCATGGAGGAGCGATGGGGGGGGGGGGAGGAAGGGCATGCTGGATTAAGGATTTATAAAATTAGAAGGTAAAGTTGGAGTTATTTGGAAATGAATGGCACATTCAGTTAGAATTTTCATCGATCTTTTATTTTTCCAGGCTTAATAAAATAGGGGCTGGTAAATATCGTTTGTTCATGAAATTTTCGATTGTGAGCTGGACCACGAAGGCCAAGTACTTGGTTAATATTGCGATTGCCGGGCAGCGAGAACTCGAGAGGAACTCTACAAGTACGACTGTTGGAGATCATAAAGTACTTAGGTGGGGAAAGCTTTAAGTCTCTTTATAGCTCGCGAGCACTTCTAAACATTATAAATTAAGCCGATAAAGCCAGCTCGTGTACTATTCGGACAAGAAGTTTAATCGACAGGAGATGAAACTTTGGGGATTTAGCTGCAGGCGACGGACACCCAAATTTACTCGCAACACGGACAATTGCATTTATCCTCCTGGCCTACAAATAGTCGCATATGCGAATCTCTGTAGTCGTGAAGGGAGATGATGGGAGGCGTGCCAGTTTTCATTTATTAGGCTTTTCCAAATTAATTTCTCGCCCGGCATCTGACAGACTGTGCTTAACTCCCTTCATTTTATCACGTATTATTCGTCTTTTTACGAATTCGCACGGATTTTAACGGATGTTAGCTCCGACGTACTGCTCTTCCTCTATCGTAGATTATATTTCGCTTTATACTGGGACGTAATATCGGGAAAACGGCGTAGATAATTTGACGTCTGTGAGAAAAGCACAATCCACCCTGGCTTTACGTATAGCAATTTTCCATTTCCAATTGTGCATGCCTAATGAATTTTTGTAATTGCTACGTAATATTATATGAAAATCTGTGTATGAAATATGGATTCGAGGTATCCTTAGTAATTTCATATTCAATGTTTGATTATCTGATTGTGTACAAAATGATTTTATAAGTACATGGATGACCGTAAATTACGGTTTCAAATAATTCAAGGTCAATATATTAATAAAACAAAATATTTTTTATAGTAAGCTTCGTCGACATTATAGATGTTAGTAATAGAACTTCACAGATATTTTATAGAATTACAATGATTTTCTGGATTGTCCGTGAATGAAAAACTTTTGAATGAAAAGCGAAAATTGACTAGTTTAAAAAATAGTTTTATGTCGTATTTCATTATAATCTGAAGTAATTTAATAATTAAAATATCGCCCGAACATGATAATTATATTAATATTCGAATATTCATAATACAAAGTAAGAATGAAATTTAAAATGAAATTTTGTCACACAAACTTGAAAACATAAATTCATTATAATAGTTGTTTCATTTAAATTAAAGTTAACGAAACCCTAATATTAATATTATTTGTTTAATTAAAGTAAATTTCTAATAATCAAAATAGAATTGATAATAATATTATAGTTAATATCCTTATGAAAATGGTAATAACAATTAACAAAATTCAAACAATCGTATTTCAATTTCTTCATTTCCACTTTCTCTAATAAATATTAAAGTAGTCGTTATAATTTTTAATTTTATCAATGTAAATAATTATTTACGTAATTCATGTGCAGTTTACCACGTATAAATATGTTTAAGCTATTGATTACTTTGTAAGCCATTTATTAATTACAAATGCTTAATTTAGCGTTTTAATTAAGGAAATAAAATTAGTTCAATGTTCATTTGATGTTAATTCAAATAGTGTAGAAGGTATATTGGATCGATTGAAAAATCAGATCCTGGTCTAAAGTAAAATTTAAAACCTTTCGCTTGTTCAAAGAACGCTCTTGCTACCAAAGTTTAATTAGCATCCTCCTCCTCCTCCTCCTCCTCCTCCTCCTCCTCCTCCTGTCCTGCGTCGACCAATAAAAATGCATTAACGTTTCGTGCATAATTAAAATGACAAATTACGCATGAATAAGGAATACTATTGAATGGAATGGCAGGAAAAAGTAAAACGACGTTGCGATTATATCGCAAGCTCCAACGATCAATTTTGAATGTCATATCTACAAACTCGTATTTCTTATAAATCTTATTATGTTGAAATAATTTAACAACTCTATGGAGCTTTAATAAAATAGTCCCGTAACAAGCCTATATAAACGATTATTTATCTTTGATCGCTTGCAAAAGCTATTAGCAGCGGCATAGCGGCATTATAAAAGTCGATATCTCGATAATGCATCTTGGGTTGTTGGCTGAGTGTGGTAGGGATGGCGGTAGGGATGGAGAGTGGGGCGGGAGGGAGAGGAGATTTTTCGTTGAGATGTTATTATCGAAGCGCAGCGGGAGCCTCGCACGAATGCTTCGTGCTTCCTCGCTGTACCGTATCCAATGTGATCTAAATAATTGTGAGCTTGCGGGGTGGAGAAGAGAGACTTGAGGTCAGTTCGGTTGGATCGTACGAAGGAAGTCTTAGCCGCTCTGTAATTTTAGCTTAGCTGTACTTCCCCCCCCCCCTCCCTGTCGTAATCAATGTAATCATCGAAGAGCTGATAACGATTCGTGTCCGATCGATGCCGATAATCCCGCGAAGGTTTTGCATACGCGGCCGAGATTTTACGATTATTGGCCAAATTAAATGGCTGATCTGATAATTCGAGTACGGATAACCTTCATTCCGACGAGATAGTCTGGCCAGCAATTATAAAGTCTACGCTGATATGAATATTAGTACCAGTTTTTAAAAAGTTCTTACCAACGCGACGGACCTGTGCGATTCTTCGATAGAAATATAATTTTATTCGATATTTATTCGATAATCATTAGAATTTGTATGTAATTTTGCCATTTTTATGCAATAGCTCGAGCGTGTACTCCCCATGACTCGACAACATGGTAGTTTTTCAAATAATTGTAAGACATAGATGATCCGTAACAATTCTCGTTATTTTTTTTTCTTTCACAAATCAGATAAGTTTACTTTATGCTTCGTACGTGCTCGGCTGAGATATCATATATTTTTTTATAAGCCTTCTAAATAAAAGAATATCATTTGCTGAATATCGTGCTTCGTTGATAAGAGTAACTTTTACAGCCCAACTAAAGCTCCCAGCAGCAAATGAGAAGTCTTCTCCAATCAATAGAATTGGAATCGCAAAAATCACGTTCGTAACCGGGCGGTCGTACGCTCTTTTTTTTTTTTTTTTTTTTTTTAAGCAAGACAGTCCTCGTTGTGCATGAATCGCAGTAGAAATCGCGCATTTTTTTTTTTGCATACTCTCCTTAATTTCACCTGGCTCAACTCTGCTTCTTATTTAGCTGCTGACAAATTCGAAACAGCGTCAAGTTTATCGGACATATGCGTCGGACGCTCGTTTGGATTAACGACATCGCTACGGCTAGCAGCGACGTCACACGATTCTCTCGTTCCTAAACTTAACGAACCATTACGGACTCCAGTCATTCTGCAAGTTTTATTTAATAGCTCGATTTTTATGATCCGTGCCACGCTATTGGCTCTAACCTCCTCCCTATCGACGATCGCCATCTTGGCACATTGATCTACTCTGGCCTTCCGTCCATTTAAACGTATGCGTTTCATTACAGATTTGTAGTTCATTTAGGGGAAAATTTTTTTCTTTTTATGTCGAGATATGTTCCGGATCTACGGGGTTTGGTCGTATAATTTTTTCTTTTTATCGTATTATTAATGCTATTGTATTTCATTTTCATTGCAAGTGCGGATTTATGTCATTCGCTTGTGCGGGATTTTTCAAATGGATTGTTTCATGATTTTCGCTCGGTGGCTGGCGTGGAATCATTAAATTTCTATATTTCAAATGATCTCATTACTAATAATCTAATAAACTTTACGTAAGAATAATAAGGTACATTGGTTTTTTTTTCCTTTTTTTTTTTTTTTTTTTTTTTTGATAATTATGAATTTCCTTATATATATATAAAATTTTGCCTTTGTCTTAATGTCTCACTTATTGCATTTTGAGTTAGATCGCGGAGATAATGCACTAATGCACGTTTAAGAAGTTAATTGTATTATTATTTAAGCTTTTCTCGCTTAAATACTAACTAATCGAAGTAATTATTTGATATGGGATATTCTTGTTCTTTACTATAAAGACGTTGTCGCATTAATAAGCGAATTTTTAATGTTTTCATTCTGAGATTCGACGTACGATATTTGATTTGTGCTATACCATAAGCGAATAAATTATATAAAAAAAAAAAAAAAAAAACAATAGACGAATTTAAATAATTTACGCGGAGAAAAATCCGAGGGTATTAAAAAATTCAAACAATTTGAACGTGGAACATTAAAGCTTTGAACGCTTTCAATTATTCTTTATTCGGCAAACAAAATTTTCGGCAATTTTGATGATTTTTTTTCTCTAAGCGCTTAAAGTACATAGAGTAAATTAATAAATTGCGTACTTACCAAGCAGTGAAGCAAAGACCATGACGAAACAGGTGCCCAGGTATACGTCGATGGACTTTACATACGAGATCTTGGGAAGCGCGGCATTAGTCGAGGACATAAGGGTCGTCATGGTGAGCACAGTGGTTACTCCGAGGGCGACCCGAGCGGGGGTTGCATTTCGGTTTAGCCAAAAGCTCACCCACGAGATTATGACGATCAGGCCCGATGGAATGTAGATTTGAATCAGGTAGTAGCCCATCGAGCGTACGAACTGGATCTCACAGGCCAAGCGCGAATAATTACCTGCGAATTAAGCAACAGAGCCACGTGTTCGATTTCCCCTCGCAAGCACAATTTCTTTGCTTTCTACCGCTTTTCCTTTCTCCTTTCAGGCCAAGACTCGGCCAAACTCGTTATCTCCTCCATTTCGGCTCTTTATATTCCCTTTCGTTAATATCGAGTATTATCTCTGATAAAGATACGGGATGCTCGGTTGCTTCATTAAAACTCTCGCTGCTTTGTCACTGTCTACAAATCGAACATGTCCATCAAAGTTTTCAGCTTAAGGCGTATTTACAATATGTCTATATATATTTGTAGACTATAATGTGGCATTTGACGTATATAAATTCTATTAACGATAATGTGTAGTAAAACTGGTAATTAAGAAGCTTATTATTAAGATCGTATAATGGAAATTTGCATAATATCGGTTATAAATGTAATTTGTGGATTAATTATGTAGTTTAATGTAAAGTAAATTAACTAAATTTATCTTCAATAAATCTACTGGACGGGTAGCTACTAAGTAAATAGTTTTACCGTTAGATAAGAAATTGACCGTATTTACGGCATTGTTGCGACAAGTTATTTTGGGATACCGAATGACCATAAATTTAATCTAAATCATTGTTTATATTAAATGTATTTCGCGAACGAAGAATATTGGTCGATTGAAAGAAAGATTTATTGATTCATAATGAAAAATAATTATTTCGATACGATGAAATTTCATTCTCTGCAGGTAGACTCCGCGCTTAGAAGAAAAGTGATTGTAAATTAGAGAATTACTTGTTTGAAACTCCTTTTGAATGTTAATTTTTCTTCTTCACTATTAAACTTAATCATTTTCAAACGCGTATTACATGAAAGTTTGTTTGACTACATTACTCGTAAATAAGTAAAAAAAGTGAAAATAGTAGAACAAATTGATTCGCTAATATTGCAAATAAATAAAATTTTTAGAGAAAACAGTTACCATAGGATGCTTGAAATATTAAAACGACAATTAAATAATTAAATTCTATATATTATATTATCATATTAAATGGTGTGCATATGTAATATTGATTTTTAAATTCGAAAAAAATGAATTTTATGTACATACTCGTCGGCATGGATTTCTTATTTAGATTCTAACAAATTATTTTGTATAAAATCTAATCTCATTTGCTCAATAGCATATCTTACACATGCTTATTAACGTTATGTAATATTCTTTTAATGAAAACTGTTAAATACCTTCAAATATTTCATATTAAAACTTAATTAAGTTTTACACATCTTGATTTTCACTTTTAATTTATGCTGTGTAGCACAAGATAATCCGGCGAAACGAGTTTTAATTAACAAAAATTGATATTATATTCGCTTAAAACTTTATTTGAGCTTTTAATTATCTCATATTGGAAGTAAATGGCTTGATTAAATAGGCGATTAAGTTGAATATTGTTTTGAAAACTATTTTAATATTAAGATAAGATACCTGCATTGTAAGTTTTAAGATTGTCGTGAATAGGTACGATTATTTGCTTTCGTGTTTGTTTGTTTTTTACAAGACTTACATTATTAGCTCTTATAAGACAAAAAATTACTATTGTTATTATTATTGTTATTATCATTATTATCATCATTATTATTATTGTATTATATATTACGTGACCTGTGCAACAAGTAAAGTTAGCTTACACTCTTCGATTGAAAATCGCAAATTTCTCCTTTTCATTCAATTTACAATAATACAATTTATAATAAACATTCAATTAATATTTTAATCAATTTTTCTCGTTACCGAGATAAGAGACCATGTTATTGTCATTGAACTGAAGAATATCCAGATTTTGCGCTTTATCGCATCGATATTAGAATATATTTTTTTTTTAGCCTTACCCGAAGCGAATGAGAGAGGAAGAGAGAGAAAGAGAGAAGAAAAAAAGATACTAATGAAAGCGAGGACAGAAAAATAAGCGAACAGAGCGGGCGAAAAACGTTTTGAATTGATGCGAAAAATATGAATTGTTAGGCTGAAACGTAAAAATTGCAGATATGCGTGTGTGCGTAAATTTGTTTCGATCCATTTCATTAGTCATGTTTACGTTGAAATTAATCGATTAAGCATCAAGAATAGGTGAAGAGAGCATTGACGTTATGTAAGGACTTTTTTGAAGTAACAAGTGATATTAGCTAATGATTCATAAATCTCTTTATCATAATACGTGAAATCGCTTATATCGGTGATGTATTAGCACAATTGTTTTCTAGTGTTCTTGTTTATAATTCGAGAAGCATAAATGCAGAAAATTTATTGTGTAGAACGATCGCACACTTGAGCATACGTGAGCAAAGAGTAACGATTGATTAGTTTAATTAATTTGTTGGTATAATTTAATTTTATATTACGCATTGGTTAATATAATGGCATCCGTTCAATCACTCGCTTCATGGATTTATTAGGCGAATGAAAAAATCATTTTTGTTATATTTCAAATAGGCTATTTCAGTGTCATTTTGAATTTTTGTACATTCAAGTTTAATAATTTCCTATTAATCAATTAATCAATGTTGTAATTTTATTGTAATAGATTCGGTGATTAGTTTTTCATCTGACACATTAGAGAAATGTTAGTTGTTTATAGAAATCTATTATAAAATGATATAATTTTTTTTTTTTTTTTTTTTTTTTTTTTTTTTTGAGAAGAAATCTCTACAGAAATCAGAACGAATAAAATCGATGAAATATATCTAATATTTTACAATGATTTATATAATAAAAAAGTTGCCTCGTTACGTATACAATATTCTGACAGCCAATTGTAAAGAAGAAACTATAGATGAGCGGAAAATCCTGATATTGAATGAATTTTGTTTTTATCACGACTGCTTATATCAGTCAAGAAATCTAATGATTCAACAATTGAATGACCAACATTTTTGAAAAATAATTTTTAATAAAATACGGTTGCGTGCGATTTTTTAGTAAAATACATATCAATAATGTATTAACATGCTTATAAATTTATTTGAAATTATTCTAAATTGAAATTGATTCGAAACTACATATATTATCGCAATCTAATTTATTAGATAATTTAGTGGCAAAGAATTTGAATTATATCCATAAATTATTTATACTCTTAAAGTGCTATTTTAGTCCACTTCATTGTTGGCCATTTTAAACACAAAATACCTTGATTTATACCAACATATTCCGGTCAATTTCTATTTTATGCAGATTTAAATTTGTAAAAACTAATTTATTCTTCTTTTATTAGACTTTATATTTGCGATAACACGAAATTCTACACTTGGCTATCATTCGTTTCCACATATCCTTATTATTCTTTATGGAAAAGGAAGTCGTGCCTCCTGTTCATTTATTGTCAAGTCTCATCGTTCGATGTTTTTATTCGTAAAATGAGATATTTTGTATCTGGATATTTATTATATGGTTTTTATTTTTTTTTTTTTTTTTTTTCGACAATAACAACTGATATTATGTACTGTACATGATTTTAAATGAGGAATATTTTTGAATATGATACAGATTTTAATATTGTAATATTGAAACTACAATTTATAGCCAAAATAATGTAGATACGATCATTTACAATGAACAATTGTTTAGTTGTGGATAAAAGAGTTGGCTTAAAATTCTGACTCAACATACAAAAAGTTCATAATTTGAGTCAAAGTGTAAAAGTCAGATATGAAAGATTTGGAAAAGCGTAAAACTGTAAGATAGAGTAGCAAGAGAAAAAAAGAGAGCCGAACTAATGAAGATATAGAGCTTTGAAAATATAATTATTCATAAATTAATTTTTTATATTAATAAAATATTTGGATATAAACATGGATATAAACATATATTGTTATAGATAGCATTTTTAATGTGGTTTCACTTTAAATGTAATTAGCACATATAATAGATTTCAATATTACCTACTTATAACAAATTATGCATTAGATAATATTTAAAAACTTGCATATGGTCATTTGATGCGGATGGAGTATTGAATAATATTTACGTCTACAACTTGCAAATTAATTTCTATACTTGTTATGATAAATGTCAATTCTCTTCTTGTTACAATCTATACATTTGATAATTCATAGAATCTTATTACATTTGATAGTTTGAAGTGTAGTTCAGTAGCGCAGTAGTATAGTTAATACTAGTTAACTGTAAAAATAATTTTATAAATTTAATTATATGATTACACTTTATAGCTTGATTGAGTTTTTTATTTTCCACTTTTATAAATTATTCATTTGACTTTAATCATGAGTCGGCAGTCGAAATTCAATATTGAAAAATACCGTGATAATAACTAACCTGGATTGGATAATTAACGATAATAACTAAAATAACTAAAAATAAATTATAATTGAAAATTAATATTATTAATACGAATGTATAAAAATGCTGAAAAGCTTATAAATTGCAATTTAGATTTTGCAAGTATTTTATGACGACGATATATAAAATGAATCGTAACTTATATGAGCGAAGTAAACTTTTTCTAATTTATGTATTTTATATATTAGTTTTCACATATTCACTGAAATAATTATAAAATTTAATTGAAATTAAATCTTTTAATTATAATAAATTAAAAATTTAACAACTCATAATTGAAGATGATAAATTTTCACTCTTGTTTTGCGTATTTTTGTGAAATTTTGCTAAAAACATTATGATTAAAATATTAAGAGTGGGTATGTTAGAAAAAGTGATAAAATATTATTTAAATATAAGTTTATAATATCTAATTAATTGGATAAAATTAATCAAAATTGGATCTACTAAATATCTAATAAATTTATATTAAGTAATCTATTATTTAATTATTATTACATAAATAATACTGGTGGTTATGATTAAATAGTTAAGTAATTTTAATAAAGGAGATAGATAAGAGGGAGAGAGAGAGAGAGAGAGAGAGAGAGAGCGAGAGAGAAGGGGGGGGGGAATTTAATATTTTCTATATCTAAAGTGAATGAATAATAATAATGCTCATTGTACC